TCCAGAGCTTCTATTTCAGGTGTACCCCAAACAAGGCACTGGGAACACATCTTTTACAGTACGTGCCCCATTTATGAGGGCAGCAATCAGACCTACCGCCTCACATTAGAAAGACAGTACATGGACACACCCTGATGCGTCTCTGTCGCACACTGTGATATGAGTTGGTTTAGCAAAACTATAAGCTCTCTGAAGTCAAGAGAACGCCTCTTATTTCTTCTAGAGAGTCTTTGTCTATTGCCCAGTAGGTTATATAAAGTAGGCGTTCTCTCTCTGGTTTTAACTGAAGGCTGATGGATGGGGCCTGCTTAGGAAAAAGCCATTTCCCTGGGAACAGGGCCCTGTAAGCAGCTCGTGGGTGACAGGGTGAGAGAGAGAGTGTTTGTGTGTATCATTTACAGGCTAGTCAGCTCCACCCAGTGTATCCTGGGTGACAGTCACTTTCCAGCTGTATTCCTGGGCAGGAGGCAGCATGTGCCCGGAGGAAGCCCTGGGACCTCCAGCCCTACAGAAGACCAGAGCTGGGCCTCTGGGAAGGGCCTGCTGAGCTAAGCCAGGGTCCACACAGCAGGGCTGCTGGGAGAACACTGGAGGCCGGGGTGCTGCCTGCCTGCTGTCTCCCCACAGATCCCACAGAGGGAAGTGTGCATGAGGCTAGAGGCCTTCCTCGCCCACTCCAGGAGGAAGGGAAGGCTGTGCGATTATCCCTGCTTTAACAAATCCTGTTTCCAAGAGCAGGCTTCCCCCGGGCTCCCCCTGCTGGCAGATCAGGGCACAGTGGGGCAAGTAGGCTGACCTAGCAGTGGAAATTCAGGCTAGACTCAAAGTTTACAGCCCCAGTCTTAGAACCTGAAGGGCTCATGAGGAACACCTGTGGTGCTTTCGGAACACACGCATTTCCAGGCCTGATGAACAGAGACTCTGATCCACTTGGTCCACCTGGTCTTGGGCAGACCCGGTAAATGCATGTCAGTGCATTTAATAAGCACCTCAGGGATCTGATCTAGGCCATCCCAGCCCTGCTGCAGCTAGTCAGAGCCAGATGACAATGCCTCGATTTCCTTCTGCCACCCACTTTAAGGTTTAATAACCCTCTTGGACAGGACACTTCCTTTCCTTTAGCTAATACTCATTACTACTACTGTTGGGGCTCAGAAAACAATATCCCAAAGTGAAGGCCTCAGGAGCAGCCTCAAAAGCAGTTTTCTCTGAACCACTCCTGCTCTCCAGTTTTCCAGCTTCATTCTCCCCTGAGACAAGCCACAGAAACTAGAATCCCTCTTCCCCAAAGCAGGCCATAGAAACCAGAACCCCTTTCCCCAAAGCCAGCCATAAAGACTAAAATTATACTCTAAACTTCCCCCCACCTTTCTGTCTTGCAGCGGGCCATAAAGAAACTCTCTGCCCTGCCTTGTCCGATGACTGGTCATAAGATCCCCATTCCAGAGAAAATCCTACCCCACACCCTGGAGGAATGAATGCTACACAGAGCAAGAAGAATCTAAACAGACAGGCCTTGCTGGCTTCCCTCACTCAGTCTGTGAGCATTAGCTCATACTTTTCTTGTCCAATCACATTTCTACATGGCTATGTCCGCTTCATAGAACCTAAGCATAAAAGTAGAGTTTTCCCCATTTCTTTGCGTCTTCATTCTCAAGGCTCCCATGTCACATAAAACTATGACCAAATAAAATTTGTTATGCCTTTTCTTCAGATTAATCTGTTTATCAGATAACTTGTCAGAGAACCTTCAGGGGGCCAAAGGGGATGTCTTCCTTTGGTCCCTATACTACGAATTAAAACCCAACTTGTTTTATTTAAACTTGGGGTGGGGTAGGCATTAAATAACCACAGCCTACCCACCGGTCGCAGAAACCTGGGCCTGCAATTTCCCCCTTGAAAACTGGGGTTACATTTTGAAAAAGCAAAAGAAGGGGATACTGTGAGTACTGATGAAAAGCAGAGGTTTTGAGACCACCATTCAG